ATTTATTGTAAAGGACACTCTCTTACAATCATTGCATAAAGCAGCTTTCAATTTAGCGTTTTCCTCACTAAACAATTACAAAACATCTCTAGCAACTGTCATTCTTAAAGGAGGAATAAATTTGGGCTGCATTACTTGGCAAAAGTGTCTAAACCCTTCCCCTTCTACACTCCTAAACGACAGCTCATCCATGATCACCATCTTAGCTAAAGTTTTCCTACAGGCTTCTTTACTATACCCTATTGCCAACAAACCACCCCCACTTTCACTAGTCAAAGGAAAACTTAACAATTTATGCTTCTTATCTTCAACTCTAAAGGGATTCTTTTTGCATTGCTATCTTAAATGAACCAACATGCTACTTGTCCTATGCGTTCTAGAACTACAAGCATAGTCCTTCCCACAATAATTACACACTGCTCTTTCATCACCTAGATTAGCCTCTTTCTTAATAGTAAAATGAACCCAAACCTCAGATTTCCTAACAAGCTTTCTATTACCATTTGTCTCCTCATTTTCTAAATCAATCACACTTTTGTTTGGTGATCTAGGGGCTGGTGTTTTGAAAAAAAAAACTTCAGGGTCAGCCGATTGGTTTTTAGGAGTAAGGGGTGGGGAAGGTGATGCGACGAATCTAGAAGTTTGGGTGTTGTTGCTTGATGATGATAGGAACTTATCCATCCTAAACAAAAAACATAACACCAGCCAAAGTCCAAATTGATCAACACATTCACAAAACAGACAAATCAAAAATCAAAAATCACATTGACACATTCACTAATCACATAGCTGAAATCACATAGCTATTGTATAAACCTCAACAAATCAGAAATCACATGTGGAAAATCTGAAATCATAAACAAAACCCATTTGATTCAAGAGCAAACTCCTCACAATAAACCTCGAAATCGAGCAGAAGTCAATCATAACATATTTCAGATTGCACTGTTGATTAAGCAGAAATCAATCATAACATATTTCAGATTTCAGATTTCAGATTTACTTGAGAGCCGAGAGGAGAGGCAGAGACCGGAGAAAGCCGAGAGGAGAGGTGGATACTAGAGAAAGCCGAGATGAGAGGCAGAGACCGGAGTTGGGCCTAGAGGAGAGGCAGAGAGGAGAAGCGGATACCGAGGAGATGAGAGGCGGAGATCCTAGGAGAGGAAAGGCGGAGAGGAGAAATGGAGACCGAGGAAAGGAGAGGTGGAGACCGGAGTTGGGCCTGGAGGAGGGGCAGAGAGGAGAAGCGGAGACTGAGCAGAGGAGAGGCGGAGATCTGAGGAGAGGAGAGGCGAAGAGGAGAAGCGGAGATTGAGGAGAAGAAAAGCGGAGATCCGAGGAGAGGAGAGGCGGAAAGAAGCCGCCAGCGCCGGAGACAGAGTGCTTAAGGGACTGAAGAGTGAAGGTCTGGTCGTGGTTGAAGAGGGAAAGCCAAGAGTGAAGGTTGTCTGAAGACTGAAGAGAGACTAGAGAGTAGAACTGTAGAAATTGAAATGATGTCTAGGGTTAGATATTACAAATAAGGACTCTTCATGGGTTGTGTGGGTTGGGTTGGGGTGTGTGGGCCATTATAGGCCCAACCCACACTCCGTCCAAAAACTTCAGGCCAGACATTGAATTGGCCGAAAAAATAAAATTAATGTTGGAAATTGCATTTTTCGGATTGGGTTGGGCATGCGGGTTTTGTGGGTTTATGAACAACCCTACTCTTTCTCTCTACATAACCAACCAAAATTGTTGCATCAGAACAGGATCATGACAACGGAAAGCTTCAACGCCAGCATCGGATCTACCCACCCCCGGGCGATGACTTGATGATCGAATCCTCACACCCCGACAGCAATGTGATCCTCTCGACGGAACGAATACCCAACCCTCTTTCCTACCAACGGCAACGTGAACCTAGCCTCTTCCGGCAACGGCGCAAACCAAGCCCTCACGGCGTAGAGAACCAACCTTCTACCGATGGCGCTGCGATCTTCTTCTCTCTCGCCGTGCCAATCTTCCTGTTGCACGGTGCCACGAATCACTACATCCCTCGCCAGCATGAACTCTTCCATTTTTGTCCCCGATTTCCTCTTCTATTTTGGGTTTCCTTTGGCTTCAGCTTGCAATTGAAAGCTCTTCAGCTTCAACCAAAGATTTGAGTTCCATGGTGTTGATGTATGTTTGAGCGGAAAAAACAAGAAGAAAAGAAAACTTAGATTTAAGATCAGACGCACCTATATTTAAGGAAAACAAAAGTCTAACTCAGGATAAGAATTACTTTAACACTATCTACATGTTTTCAGTGGAAATCAAAGAGAAATAAGAGAGATCTTGAGGAGAGTGATTCAAAGAGAGCAAAGGAAAAGTTTTTTCAGAATTTTCTAACAATTGGGATCGTTTAATGTTTTAATTTAATTTTGAAATAAATCATTTTTCTCTCTTTTTATTTTTCAAATATTTAAGCATTTTTATATGTTTAATTAGAATTTGGTGGTTTAAACTAATGTTTAATGATTTTCACGTCAAATATCTGTTAGGATTATTGACGGATTTGAACGAAAGGTAATTTGATCTATTTTGTATAGATCGAATGGTGTTTTAAATCATTTTAAATCATTAGGAGACATTTTTTTAATAAGATATAATTTGAGGATATTTATGAAAATTATTATTTTTTATAATCCTTTTTCACTTTCTTTCCATTTGACGTTATTCTTAAATGCAAATGGAAGTGCGTGTTACTATGCGACACCATGTTTAGTCAGATCATGAATACCAATCAATTGAGACAATTGACGCTGCGGAGGGTTTTTGTTATCTCTCTTTGTTTAACTCTTTAGTTTTTATTTATCCCGTACTCAAGACTATTTTGTTGATGGAGAACACCATATTTTAATTTTGTACAGATTGTGCTTATTAAAAAAAAAAAGACTGAAATTGGACTTTGGTTCCACTTTGCGCTAGTCAGCGATTCTCAAGGTTACAAAATGACCAAAATGAAATCACAATGCTCCTACAAGATAAAAAAAATAAAATAAAATAAAAAAAATTTGGTCTAAACTTTTTTTGATATAATCTTTCCTTTCATAAAATTTAAACAAATTTGAATTTATGTTAAAATTTATCAACTCCATTAGGCTATTTGATTCTCCAGACGTTAATTAGGCCAAGGCTCATACTCCTATCACTTGATTTCTAAACAGCTGGAGAAGTAAACAAGAAAGGACTTGCTACTGAATGTTTTTCTGTCAGAAAGACAAGGAATCAGCGGGAACAAAATATCACAACAAGATTTTTCTACATTCAACGACATCTAAACCTCTGCAGTGCAAGTTTGTGCAGATGTACTAGCTTTTCTGTCTCTCAAACTGAAAATGGCATTACAGCTAAAATGGAATTCGGGCCAGGACTTAGGCCTATTAGTTAATAGATAGATATTAGCCAGCTATTAATTATAACCCAAAAAACAAAAAGGACAGGAAAAAGAAAAGAATCTAAATAATCCAAACGATCGTCTCTGCCGGTAATCTTCTCAATCCAGTATCAGCTGCAACAACATTATGTACTTTGTAGCAATGGTGAAGAAGATGCAAAATGCACTTCCCATCGCGGCTAACCGTAGATATCTGTAAGAAGAGACGTCAATATAGCAGTTGTTAGATACTAACGCTACCACAAAAACTGGTCTCGAAAAGGCAATTCTTCATATCCGGTAAAAGCAGCAAGCTATTCATGCTAAAAGTCTTCTATTCCATGTGAATAATGCATACAAGATTCAGGTACACGAACCCTCCCTACCAACACTGAACGCAAGTAAATGAATTCCCGAAGATTATGCAAGTAAATGGGAACTCGTATCTACTCATCGCATTCCGCCAATAGTATTTGTTTAGAACTAGTTGTTTGTATATATAGTTCTGAAAAAAAAAAAAAAAAAAAAAAAAAAACCTTAAAAAAAAAATAATCAAACCCTAAATTTTCGGGAT